CACAATTCCCCCCCCCCCCCCCCTTTTTTTTTTCTCTCTCTGTCCATTTTCAAATAGTCAAACCCATTTGATATTGACCCTTCGCTTGAATCGCACGACGCCTAAGGGAGCTTCCTTCCCTCCTCCAACTGTATAAATAATGCTCCACCAAAACAAAACCCCATCTCATCACTGAATCAAAATCTCTCCTTTTTCTCTCCATGGCTTGCTTCAAACTCATCACTTGGCCACTCATTTTGACCCTGTTATTCGCATCCTCTGCTCCCACTTCACACGCCGCCAGACTCCTCCGAACGGATAGCCTCTTTCTGGCTGCCCTTCCCAAGGGCACCGTCCCCTCTTCCACTCCTAGCAAGAAAGGCCATGCCATGGTCCTCGACCAGAAGCTCACTGCCCGACACCTTGTACAGTCCGTTCCAAGCCCCGGCGTTGGCCATTAGCAGGATCTCACACTTAATACATATTTATTATTATCTGGGGTTTGGATTTTATTCTTTGATAGGTAGAGTACTTGTACAAACATGGATTGATAATTATATTCCATTATGTGGCTTAGCTTCAAGCTCCTCTCCATCTTTTTCTTCCTCTTCTTCTTCTTCTCCACAATCAAATTGCATTGCACCATAACAGTTCCATTCAATAATTGTGATCATAACTCGGGTGAAATGAAATGAATCTGGAAAGAAGCATTATAAATCCATAATCATTCTCTTTCTTTTCATCCAACCCAGTCTATCAACTCCGTAAATAAGTATTAACATCTTGATTTTTTTTTTCTGGGAACCTTTTCAATCGCTGTCCATGTCGAAATTGAGAGGTGAAAAATTGTACCCATGTGAGTTTAATCCAATGATGATCATCAATTTTGGGTTGGATGTCAAAATTTTGGAGGAATTTGTGACCGTAAATGAATGCCTCAGGCATCATGAGGAAGATGCGTAGAACGACGACGTTTTGGAGGCCCACTCTGATGGACAAAACGTGAGTGACAGGGCCCAAAACAAGTGGACTTTCGGCTCCCATTGGTTTTGAATATTGTGGTGGGCCGGTCCACGTAGCAATTTGAACCGCGAGTGGTGAAGTTTATATTTAATTATATTAAAGTCCGATTATATAATGCTTTATTGATTGTAACGCAAATATTTATCCTATCCAATTCAATATGTCCATGATATTTCTAAAACAATTTTTAAATGGTATGGGTCTACGCATTAAATATTAAAAGAAAATAGATATTTATTACAAATTTATAAACTTTTAAGGTAGATTAATGTTTTAAAATACATATATTTCTTGAGTAAAAAAAAAAAACAATAAAAAGACAAGAAAATGACGTTTGAGCTCTCATCAAAGGCTTTGTTAATTTCACCCTCCTCCCGACCAGAAACACCGGACCAAACCCTAACCACAAATACATCCCATTTATTTATTTATTTATTTAAATTTTGTTTTAATCCACGGCCTCCCTTGGGTTATGACGTCACCAATGACATTCCTCTCACCAAAATGTCTCACGTACCCTTTGTATTCCTCCTCATCCGAAACACGCCTATTATCGCTGTCCACGTGGACGAAGCTCGTGACCGCAACCTGACTTGCCTGTCCCCACCTGCGGCCACTCAGGTACGCCCCAGGACCACTCCCGTTTCTAAACTCCTCACGCGGCGCCCTTATCGAGCACGTGCCCGTATCAAACTCCAAACCCCATTCCATTTTCACTCATCAGGATCACCCTCTTCCGCTGCTCCTCGCCGCACCCGATTTCCTCTCCTTCCGCCATGGTTGTCTGACGTGGCTACTTCCACCACCCGACACGTAGCGATTGCTCCAGCAGCGGCAACTGGGAGCGCGTGGGACTCAACCTTGGTCATAGCCAGTTGGCATTACTGGGTAGTCTATTGGGCGACCTTATCCTCTTCTTTTTTATTTGCTATTATATAAATAATTTTTTTCCAGAGAGGAAAAAGAAGATTGCAATTTGGGAATTGTTTAGAGCAAAGAAAAGGCAGAGGAAAGGGAGAGGCCGTACTGCGACTCTTTGGCTTGGAGAGAGAGACCAAAACCAAACCCTAGATTTTTCAGTCCTAAGTTCCAAATTTCTTCATTTATTCACTCCAATTTCAGATCCGACCCCCAACAATCCTTCTTCCCGCTGCTTACTATTCATTTTTTCGTCTTCCTGGTAATCATTTCTGCATCTTCATCTCTACCTTGCACTTAATTTCTGTTCTCTACTTGTTTTCCTGTTCGGGTTTATCAGACTCCCCGTTTTTGGTATTTCGGAAGGATTTAGGTGGATCATGTTCTAATTTTGTGTATCTTTTACTTGATGCTTATAAGTTCTTGATACTTTGGGTGTGCGATTTTCATGTGAAATTACTACTTGGTCTTTGTTGTGACGCTCTGCTCTTTATGCGATCCCCGTTGCAGATCTTGCCTAATTTTAGACATTGAAGAAGGAGGAAACTCGTCTTGTGTTTTGTGAATACTCTCTTGAGATTCTTTGTCAAGCTTTTTTGAGTTGGAAATTTTTATTAGGTCAGTAAAGATGATGTCCAAATCGTATACCAATCTTTTAGATTTAGCATCTGGGAATTTTCCCATCATGGGTCGTGAGAAGAAGCGACTTCCACGCGTAATGACTGTTACGGGGGTAATATCAGAGCTTGATGATGAGCAGGCAAATAGTGTGACTTCTGAGGGACCTTCGTCAGTTGTGCAAGACCGTATAATTATTGTAGCCAATCAGCTTCCTATTAAAGCTAAGCGTAGACCGGACGATATTGGCTGGAGTTTTAGTTGGGATGAAGACTCTTTGCTGTGGCAGCTCAAGGATGGTTTACCTGAAGATATGGAGGTTTTGTATGTAGGATCTTTGCGGGTGGATGTTGATTCTTCCGAACAAGATGATGTCTCCCAGCTTTTGTTGGAGAGGTTTAAGTGTGTTCCTGCGTTTTTGCCTCAGGCAATTTTATCAAAATTTTATCATGGTTTTTGTAAGCAGCAGCTGTGGCCACTATTCCATTACATGCTTCCGTACTCTGCAACTCATGGTGGTCGGTTTGATCGGTCTCTGTGGGAGGCGTATGTTGCAGCAAATAAAATTTTTTCTCAAAGGGTGATTGAGGTCATAAACCCAGATGATGATTTTGTATGGATTCATGATTACCATTTAATGGTGCTGCCTTCCTTCTTGAGGCGGAGGTTTACGAGATTGAGGATGGGTTTTTTTCTTCACAGTCCATTTCCTTCCTCAGAAATATATAGAACTTTACCAGTGAGGGAAGAGATTCTTAAGGCACTTTTGAATGCTGACCTTATTGGTTTTCACACTTTCGACTATGCTCGACATTTCTTGTCTTGTTGTAGTCGGATGTTGGGTTTGGAATATCAGTCAAAGAGGGGTTATATTGGGTTGGAATATTTTGGAAGGACTGTGGGGATAAAGATCATGCCTGTTGGAATTCACATGGGCCAGATGGAGTCAGTGTTAAGCCTTGCTGATAAAGACTGGAGGGTACAGGAGCTCAAGCGGCAGTTTGAAGGGAAAGTTGTGTTACTTGGAGTTGATGATATGGACATTTTCAAAGGGGTCAATCTGAAGTTGTTGGCAATGGAACAAATGCTAAGGCAACATCCAAAGTGGCAGGGAAGAGCCGTTTTCATACAGATTGCAAACCCAGCTAGAGGAAAGGGGAAAGATCTTGAGGAAATACGAGAGGAAATACAGGAATGCTGTAAGAGAATTAATGAAAGTTTTGGACAGGCAAATTATGAGCCTATTGTGTTCATTGATCGGCCTGTTTCTCTTGCTGAAAGAGCTGCATATTATACGGTTGCCGAATGTGTTGTAGTCACAGCGGTGAGGGATGGGATGAATCTAACACCTTATGAGTACGTTGTCTGCAGGCAGGGAACCTCTGGATCAGATTGTAGTTCAGAATCAAATGGGCCACAGAAGAGCATGCTAGTGATATCAGAGTTCATGGGATGTTCCCCTTCTCTTAGTGGTGCTATACGGGTTAACCCATGGAACATCGAAGCTACTGCTGAAGCATTGAATGAGGCAATATCAATGGCTGATGCTGAAAAACAATTGCGCCATGAAAAGCATTATAAATATGTTAGTACACATGATGTGGCGTACTGGTCAAAGAGTTTTTTCCAAGATATGGAAAGAACTTGTAAAGATCACTTCAGACGACGGTGCTGGGGAATTGGGTTGGGCTTTGGCTTTAGAGTTGTAGCACTTGATCCCAACTTTAGAAAGTTGTCTATTGATGCCATTGTAGCTGCGTATTCGAGGTCCAAAAGGAGGGCCATACTTTTGGATTATGATGGCACTGTCATGCCACAAACATCAATTGATAAGGCCCCAAGTCGTCAAGTTATTTCAATCATAGATTCACTTTGCGATGATGTTAGGAATACCGTTTTTGTTGTCAGTGGAAGAGGGCGTGAAAGTTTGGGCAACTGGTTTTCTTCTTGCGATAAACTTGGAATTGCTGCCGAGCATGGCTACTTTATGAGGTTTGGTTCTTTTTTTCTCCTCCCCACCCCCCCCCC